TAAATTGTGCCACTATGAACATAGGGGTGCATATATCATTTCTGATTGGTGTTTCTGTTTTCTTGGGATATATAGTCCTAGAAATGGGATCACTGGGTCAAATGGAAGTTCCATTTTTAGTTTTGTGAGGAAACGCCATACTGTTCTCCACAGTGGCTGCACCAGTCTGCATTCTGTGTGTGTGTGTCGGGGGGTGGGGGGAGGGAGAGGGTTCTGTTTGTTTGTTTGGTCAAATTTAGACATACCCTAGGCTGGAAGAGCATTTGATTCAAAGGACATGTTTCCCATCTCTCTCTGTGATAGTATTCAAACCTGACAGGAGGACATGACAGTCATTTTAGCTTAATTTCCTTCAAAATTCACTTGTAAACTTGGTGAAAGAAGATACTTCATCACTTCACAAGTAAATCAGAATAAAAATATGAAAGGAAGCTAGCACCTCCCAAAGTTCTGTGTAGTTTTTGGCATAGAGGGGGAAAATACACATTTTTGCCCAGCCGGTATGGTTCCATGGTTGAGCTTCGACCCATAAACCAGGAGATCAGGGGTCAGGGCACATGCCCTGGTTGAGGGTTCAATCCCCAATGTGGGTCATGTAGGGGGCAGCCCATCAGTGATTCTCTCTCATCACTGATGTTTCTATCTCTCTCTCCCTCTCCCTTCTTCTCTGAAATCAATAAAATATATTTAATTAAAAAAAGAAAGGGAAAAGTCACAATTCAGAGTAAAACATTTAATTTTTTTAATGTTTTATTGATTTCAGAGAAAAAGGGAGAGGGAAATAGAAAAACCAATGATGAGAGAGAATCACTGATCTGCTGCCTCCCTGCATGCCCCCCACTGGTGATTGAGCCCACAACCCGGGCATATGCCCTGACCAGAAATCAACTGTGATCTCCTGGTTCAACCACTGAGCCACACCAGCCAGGCCGGAGTATAACTATTTTAATTCAAAAATATCCCAGTTACAAAGCCACCTCATAACTGCATCTTAATTAATGTACATGTGCATCAACTGGACCTGTATGAACATGTGTTCTTTCATAACAGCAATAAAGTTAACCTGATGTTACTGATGCATTGACCGGGATCTTCTGAAAAGCCTTCATCAACTCTCCTTTTCACATGGCTCTGTTGTGTCCTAATCTCATGCATTTCCTCTTTTCATAGATGTAATTTCATCTTACGAATATTATTTATACCATGTTATAGGGCAGTGATGGCGAACCTTTTGAGCTCGGCGTGTAAGCATTTTGAAAAACCCTAACTTAACTCTGGTGCCGTGTCACATATAAAATTTTTTTGATATTTGCAACCATAGTAAAACAAAGACTTATATTTTTGATATTTATTTTATATATTTAAATGCCATTTCACAAAGAAAAATCAACCAAAACAATGAGTTCGCGTGTCACCTCTGACACGCGTGTCATAGGTTCGCCATCACTGTTATAGGGAGTATGTGGTTATTACTGATTAATTTATTCATATATATGGAGTAATACTTAAATATTCTTAAATCTTATCTTGCTAACAATATATTTATGCATAAGCTTATCAGTTTGCAGACCATCCATCCTTCATGGTTTTCTGTTCCCTATTTATAATTCTGATCTTGAGCTGGAGGTGAAAATAAGATGTTTTATAGCATACAAAGATGTAGCATGCCAGATGACTGAATAAAAAAAACAAAAAACGAACAACGCACCATCAATATACAGGTGGGGAAATTCTGAAGTTGGTAAAATGAAGCCAGATGAGCCAGATAACTATTAACTAGACATTGGCCATGCAGAAGCTCTCATAGCAAAATTCTTATCAACACTACATTAAATAAAATATAAAGAAAATATGTTCTAAGGACATATCTCAAGTTGAGCCCAGGCACTATGGATATAGACATAATCAGGCAGTAACTAAAGAAGGGAGTATTTAAATGTAGACATATCTTTTAAAATGTGCAAAAGTCAACCAGAAATGTAGGACCAATACTATGGAAAAAGAAGTGGAAAATTTGACAATACCAAAGCATAAATAGTACGGAAAATGAAAATGTAATTTACAAAATTGGGAGGTGAAAAAACTGCTGAGAAAAATACAACCAATTTTGGTAAAACATTAATGAAAAGCTTGGAATTTATTATTAGGATGATCAAATTATTGCACACAGTCCAACATACTTACTTTCCTTCTTCTATGACTCCTACTTTATGGAATCTATTACTAACTCAATGATATAATAAAGCCAAAAAAAAAGTGGTTCATTTAATGCTAGTGAAGAAGAAAGGACAAATTTCTTTCTGATTTGTAATTTCTGAAATCATTCATGTTCTAAAAATTCTTCACAGTTCATTAGAATATGCACTAAGCAAATCAAAACACCTAAAAACATGACTTACAGGGCAGATTACTGACTATACTCCCTATAATTTACATCCATGTGGCTATTCTATAACTATTTGTACTTCCTAAGTCCTTTACCTTTTTCACCCAGCCCTCCAAACCCTCCTCCCATCTGTCAACTGTCAGTATGCTCTCTATGAGTCTGTTTCTATTTTTTTCGTTTGTTTGTTTTGTTCTTCAGATTCCACATATAAGTGAAAACATATGCTATTTGTCTTTCTCTAAGTCAGTGGTTCTCAACCGTGGCTGCACATTAGAATCACCTGGGAATCTTTTTAAAATCCTGATTTCTGAGGCCCCAAATCAGGATTTTAAAAAGATTCCCAGGTGATTCTAATGTGCAGCCAAGGTTGAGAACCACTTCTCTAAGTTATTTTACTTAGTATAAAACCATCTAGGTCCATCCATGCTGCTGCAAAAAGTAAGACTGATTATTTTTTAGAACTATGATTTTTTTTTTTTACTGAATGTGAATTTATAAATGGGTAGAGAACACTTGCAAGTCACATACATTTTGCATTCTCTTCCAAGAGCCCATCCATATAAACACGCTGTGGCCATTCACCTGCAGCCTATTAAACTGATAACACTGGAATAGGTGTCAAGTTGCTTTTTAATTTCAAGTGCCATTTACACAGAGCTGCACACCCTTACAGTTATGTGTGCCTGCATTTTGAGAAGCACAGATGAGGTCAAAAGTGTAGGATTTTAAACAGTGGGATCCCTGCAAATTTGACTCTTGGTTTCCTGCTTGTAGGATCCTGACAAAATCAGAGGCAACTTCAGATCTCCCTGCCTCACTGAGAGTCAGAAAAAATGGACGAACCAGGTTAATATCATTTTTGTATCTCACACTTAACACCTTGTAGTCCTCTATCTCAACATTCTCAGGTTTTTTTTTCCCTTTGTTGGTATCATTCTAGTAGGTGACTATTTGTCCTTCTAGTTACCCAGCCTCAATAAATAAGTAAAAATATGGTCACAGAATATATTGTAGCCACATTTTTATTCCCTGACATCTATAATAATGTCCTCTGATACTGCAATCTCGGTGACTCTAATAAAATTTCTAAAGTATTTTTCTTTCCATTTTAAAATTTCATTTTCCATTATTGCCTAAGAACATCTTTCTCCGAAAGGTGGCAGTTAAATTGGAAATACAGTCTCTGAGGAGAATGGGAATATCAACCGTGTTTTGACTTCAGTGATTTTCGCATTGTCTCCATCTGCAACTCTTTCCACTTGAACACACAAAGATTGGAAGTGTGGGGGTGGGAGAGGAGGTGGATGGAAATTATTCTCTGAGCATATTTATTATGCCAACAATGCAATTTAATGCATCTTTGATGGTGTACAATTAGGTATTACAATTTCTCATAACTAGACACGTTCTAGGTCAGTGGGAATTACTGTAGACAATTTCAGGTGGCCTGGGAATAATTTGGCTACCTGGAAGGACCAGACCCATGTATACAGCATTTCGTTTAGGGAAAAATTTATTTGTTCTTCATATTAATCCTCTGCTTAACTATATTGGGAAATGCACATTCTCATAAAACCTGAGGGGGAAACCAGTAATTCTTTTATATTTTAAAATGAATTTACAAAAGCACAATAGGGCAAGTAAAATACTAGTAGTGCTCCAAACCATATTTTTTTGCAAAGGTTAATTATTCTTGCACAAAATTAAGAGTTTTATTTACTGTACATTACTGGTTTAATTTAAATTCTGACTCCTACTTTTATTAGTTGCCCTTATTTTATTTTCTCTAACTTTCTTTATGTCATAACAGTGGTGCCAAAGGAAGAGTGAGGTGGGGGAGAATTAAACATATTATAGTTGAAAAGATTTCTCAAATATGTAGAATTCCACAACTTCAAATTCTGATCACATTCTATGGCATACTTTTGGCATTATGTATGCTATTGAGAAAACCAGAATAAACTAAGGGGAAAAAAGCAATGTACTTTAAGCAATGTTAGGAGTAGGTAGGTGTGGACAGAGAAGAGGGATTATTCTTGTTTCCCTTTACACGATAACATTTAGCTATTAATTCAGTAAAAACTGAACTCACTGTCGATTGACAAGCCACAAGCAATTCATAAAGTGAAAGAAAATTGAGCAACTGCCATTACTTTTGAATTATGGATCCATTTATTTCAGGCATTCTTCGTGGAAGATGTAACTGGAATGGCACTGACTACGACCGGTGTAAGAATGAAGCTAATAGAAAGTATATATACACACACATCCTGACAGCACTAACCACAAGAAAAAATAAAAAACTTGTTTGCTTCGTAATCTATGTGATCAAATGTAACGGTATGGGTATTATCTAAAAACGTTTCATTTTTAATGGAAATAATACAGTGGACTCAATAACAAACACATGTCTTAAGTTTTAGAGGCCCTATTCTTTTAGAATTTTAAAGATCATTCCAATTTAAAGCAGACCTATTTAAGACTATGAAATAGAAAAGTTTCTATAATATTATTAGGGCAAAAACATTAGTGACATCTTAAACATAATACAACTAATTAGCTAAACAAAAAGAAACCACCCCTCCCCCCCCCACACTGGCATGCTGATACTCACTTAGCATGCAGGATGTCGGGCAGAGACCTCTCCAGAGCGATATTGTTGCTGACAAAAATATTGAAACCATTTTCCCTGTAAGCTGAGTCATCGTGGTCATCTTCAGTGAGGGGGTAAGGTTTCCCATGCTCACCCTTCCCTAGCAGGAGGCAAGAAAGCAAGGTTATCATCTGTGTAAAAACCATTCCATTTTCTAACACAGATAATACGCTTTGAAAGGGTATATTTCTTTAGTCACCTGTTAGCATACTCCACAGAAGGCACTAGCAGTAAGATTTGATTATGCCATCTTATGTTACTACTTTATTTAGGAAAAAGAAATATGTTCAAGATAGATTTTCGGTGTATGTTTCCTAACATTTGCATTCTGATTCTAATATCCATACAGCTGTATAATTTGATTTTATCTCACATAATTGTACAGAAAGCTATCTTTTCATTTACTTCCAATGATTGACATTTCATTGCAGCACCATTTAGACCATTCCACTGAAAATATACTTTAATTTTTTTTATTATAAACAATGTTGAAATGAACATCTTTGTTTATATATTCCTAGTTATGTCTTTTTGGAGAAGGAAGGATAATTCCTACAATGAGAATTGCTAGAATATCTTTGGTAATTTTCAAACATGCTCAGAAGCATTGGATGGTATTTCAAAATTTACTGGTGACATATATATTATTCATACTCTAATTTGCCTTTCTTGATTACTAATGCAATTAATAACTTCAGATGCATTTATCATTTGTACTTCTTACATTGCAAAATGACTATTCAGTGTTTTTAAAATGAATTTGTATGTTTTTAGGAAAAAAAAACTATTTACTGTGTTACTAAAGCTTTAAGTACAAATGTCCTAAACATTTTCTAAGTTTATTTCATTGAAATGTAATTTACCACTTCTACTTTCCAGTTCTGCATGCATCATCCTAACAAGTAAAAAGTCAAACAGGCCGAAAAATGAACTCTTCTTGGATCCATAAGAGAGGAGAGAGCAGAGAGCAAACTGCTGCCCCCGCCCCCGCAGCCCCCCCAAATTAGAGGGGCAGACAGGAGAACACAGAAAGTTGAGGCTTACCAGAGCAGGGACCCAGGCGTGGAGAGGGCTTGGGAACCAGTGCCAGGAGAGAAAAACCTGAGCTGCAGGTTGACAAGTTGCTGGAGGCTCAGTGCAGACAAGTCTGAGCATTAAACACTCCAAAGGGAAGGTACCAAGTGATAGGGGCTCCAATAATTTGGGGAGAGTTACCCCCAGAAGCTCAACCCGGTTCTGAGATCAAATATCGAAGAAAAACCCTCTTGTACATCCAGTAAGGGAAGGAGAAAGGAGCCATTTTGACAAACAGGTCAGAGCCCAGTGTTTGTCTTAATAAGGTCTGTCCTCCGGTGAAACTAGTTAATCCTTTAACCAGAACCTCACCTGCGGAGCTATTCTCAGAGCCTAATTGAGCTGGGAGAGGAGAATACAAATGCAGCCCACGTGAGCCATCCTATTCAACCAAAGAGGCGAGGAAAACACGGGCAAACGTGTCGTGAAGTTCACAGTCTGGAGGCTATGCTCAATGAAAGCCTGATCTTAAGACTGTAGAACACTTCCCCTCTCTCTCCCGCACCTCATCCTCACATTACTAAAAGCCCATTTGCAGCAATTCGTTTTACCCAGCACAGCATGTCCAGCGATCAAGAAAAAATTACAAGCAAGGCATACCAAACAGCAAAAAGCACGACTTGAAGAGACAGAGCAAGCATCAGGACCAGCCATGGCAGGGATGTTGGACTTAAGAATGGGAATTTAAAATGCGATTCATATGCTAAGAGAAAGTAAATGGTATGCAAGAACAGATGGGCAATGTAAGCAGAGAGATGGAAATTCTCTGAAGGCGTAAAACAAGAAATGCCAGTGATAAAAGCATTGTAACATAAATAAAGAACGCCTTTGATGAGCTTATTAGTAGACTGAACACAGCTGTGGAAATAAGCTCTGACCTGGAGGTTATATACCAGGTACTATTAGAAGCCTCAAACCAAAAGCAAATAGAAAAAAAAAAACCTGTTTGGAACAGAGTATCCAATTACTGCAATTTAAAAGGGTATAACATACATAGTGGGAAAGACAAAAGGAGAAGACAGAGGGAAAGTAACAGAAGAAATACCACTAGAAACAACAATGACTGAAAAGTTACCCAAATTAATGTCAGATACCAAGTCATACCGAGTCATTTATCCATGAAGTTTAAAGAACACCAAACAGGATAAACGCCAAGCAACAACAAACTATACCTAGGGATGTCATTTTCAAATTAAAGAAAATCAAAGATAAAGAAAAATACCCTGAAAGAACTCAAAGGGGGGTGGGGTGGGGGGAAGAGAACCAAAAACACCTAACCTACAGGAGAACAAAGATCAGAATTACACTAGACTTCTTCTCAGAAGCCATGCAAGCAAGAGGAGAATGAACTGAAATAAATAGTTGAGAGAAAAATAACAACATATATTTCTGTACCCTGTGAAATTATCCTTCAAAATTAAAGTAGAAATAAATACTTTCTCAGTAGACCTAATTTGAAAAAAAAAAATTCAAGAGGTTCTTTAAATTCTATATATCAGAAATTCAGATGTACATACAGAAAGGAAGATTGTCAGAGAAGGAATAAGTGGGGATAAAATTTTAAAAAAACCACACTGCTATTTTTCATATCAAGACGATAATAGTTTGTTCAAAATAATAATAACACTGAATTCAAAGATGTGTGTATATATATATGAGAAATGAATGAATCACAACAATAATAAAAGAGACAAAAGAAATTATTTTATTATTATAAGGTTCTTACACTACCAGTAAAATGGTATAGTGTTATTTGATAACTGACTTGGATTAGTTGTAAATGTATATTAAAAACTGTAGGGCAACTACTAAAACATTTTTTAAAATAAGTACAATTGATATGCTAAGAAGAGAAAATGGAACCCTATAAAATGCTCAGTTAAAACCACAAAAGGCAAATAAGAATGGAAAGCAAAAATTGAAACCAAACGACAAAGATAAAAACTATAAAGCAGTAACAAATATGGTAGATATTGTTTCAACTATATCGATAATAACTTTGAACAGCAGTGGTCTCAGTGCACCATTAAAAGACAGAGTAGATCAAAAAACAAGACCCAACTCTATATTCTCTACAAGATATCCACTTTAAATATAAGGAAACAAGTAAATTAAAAGTAAATGGAGCGTCTTCCCCCTGGTGGTCAGTGCGCATCATAGTGACTGGCTGTCGTTTGATCTATTTGCATATTAGGGTTTTATTATATGGGACTAGAGTCCCAGTGCATGAAACTCATGCACAGGTAGGGTCCCTATGCCTGGCCAGCGATCAGGGCCGATCTGTGGGGTGACTGGCGGGGCAATAAGGAGGCCCTTGCTGGCACCTGCCTTGGCTGGCCTGGCACTGCAAACTCGCTGGCCCGGCCCCCCACCACAGCCGCTGGTCACCTCCCTCTGCAGGGCTGCTGGCAGGGTGATCGGGGAGCCCCTGCTGGCACCTGCCTTGGCTGGCCTGGGGCCTGCAGGCTGGGGGCAGCTCCTG